TCACATTTTGATTGACATGAATATAAACGTACATATCATGTTCAAAATTATAACTCGGTACTTATAAGAAGTGTTATTAAACTCGTTACTCGATTGGAGTACTGGGTCACTGGTCAGATCAGTTGACTAGGATATATATATAAATATATATATATATATATATATATATATATATATATAAATATAAATTTAATTATATTCTTCATATCTAAAATGAATTAATAAGGTTCATTAAATAAGCTCAAACATTACTCAATCACATTTTTACAAGTTCATAAAACACAAATAAATAAAAATGCATGTTATTACTATATCAATTTAAATTGCAACTCAAAATTCTCATAAGCATACTTCTCAATGATATTCAAAAGGTCAGATGTTGTGAACTCATATTTTTCAAATTCATCTATATTGAAATGATATATGTCACATTCTCTTAATTTATTGTTCCACAAATTGCTTCAGTATTGGAAGCTAAAATTAGGGGTTATTGTAGAAGAGCAATGCTATAAAAATCAGATCGACTCGGTCGGGTCGACCCGTAAACCGATGAACCAGTCATGTAATCGATCCGGTTTTCATATTGGACTGGTCATGTTACAGAACCGGTGTGACCCGGTGCGACCTGGACGATTTTCGTAAAAATCGGTGACTTGGTCGGTTCAACTGGTGACCCGACCCGATTTGTTAAAAAAAAATCTAAATTGTTCTCATCAATTGATGTCTTCCTTTTTTCACTCTCAAACACAAATGATTTGTTTTCTTTTGAAATATTTGAGTGATTTGTAGCTTATTAACTTACATAGATTATGTACCTACAACACTATTATTATCTTGATTATGCAATATGCAGAGAATTTTGATTTGATTTATAGTTAGAGATGTCATTTATTGAACTTGAAACATCTGTATCACAAATATTATATGTTTAATTACTCTTTTGTTGGAGAATGATGTGTAATTTATTATTTTTTATATTAAAATATCTGAAATTGATATTTTTTTTCCAGGTATTTAAGTATATTTATAGTTTTTTAATATAAATTATATATTTACATATACTTACGGGGCCGGGTTTAATAATATTGTAGAAGAGTATATTACTAGCAAATAAAATTATAAAAAATTTTAAAATGAGTTTTATATTTGTTTTCTAACAAAATGATATAATTTTGGTTTTTGATTTTTTTTTATATATAAAAGTGCATGACTCGATTGGGTCACCGAATTTTGCCGAGTTTGACCGAATTCGATGCATGGCCAATCCGATACTTGACTCGAACTATTTCGATGACCATTCTCCGGGGATGTGTTTAAAAACTTTTTTTTTTGGTCTAAGAATAAGATTAAAAATGAAAAATCACATTTAATGAGAGTAAAAAATTTCTACGAGCCCACATTTTGGGTAACCAATTATTCAATCGTAAATGGAAAATTGTAACATGACATTGACGTAGCCAAATTTTTATAATGTCACATTTATGCTAATTAATATATATTGTTTGAATGCAGACGTGAACTGCTAATGATTGCCATTATTTTGTGAGAACGAAAGAATTAAATTTTTGTTATTAAATTTTATATAATGATTAGGGTTTTATTAGTCTCATTTAACATAAGATAGTTATCTTATGTTATAGAGAGAAAATAAGTGGGTTCCACCATTACAAGAAAAAAGAAAAAAAAAAGTGGGATACGAAAATCGAAGTGAGAAAACATATCTTATATAAAAGGAGAGTAATATTTTCTTAATACTTATAATAAAAAACTCATTAACAAACTCTTAATTTTGATAATTCGTACAGTATTCAATAATTAAATTTGATTCTTCTAACTAGAAAAACACCTTATTCTTCCTCCTCATAGTTAAGCTAGTGCCATGATTACGGATTGACTACGATGTGCTGACACCATTAAAACCCAACAACCCAACAAATTAAGCACGTAACGTGGAATTTGGTTGTCGTGTATATAGACTAAAATCTGAGCTTGATTCATATCAAATATATTTTTAAGGGTGTAAATTTTTAATTGTGATTAAGTTTTGACTTGGGATTAATCCCTTAACCAATTCAAAGAAATGAAACTTGTGAAAACTACGAAGAACCGATTTGACTCAAAAAAATAATTAAAATTGGTATATAGAAAAAAATAGATGGAGAAGTGTGTATATTTCTTTCTAAAACATAAAACATTCTTATATAAATCCAAGGGTTTGCTTTTTCTGCATTTACTGCAGATAAGTTATCTGCAGTAAGTCCAATACGACGTCGTTTTGGAGTCTAAATCATGATGTTTTTGTAATTTTAATTTATTTCAGGATTATAATAGTCTTTATATTTATAATTTTTTAAGATTTCAATATCAAAACGACGTTGTTTTGAGAATAAATGCAGATAACTTATCTGCAATAAATGCAGAAATATTTTTCCCTAAATCCAATGTAAATTGTCACAATATAAAGGTGAGATGGTATAATTAATATATATATATATATATATATATATATAGGGATTTATATTTCTGCAGCTGTTGTACGTACAACAATCAAATACTTGCCATATATATACTTGAAAGTATTAAATGCGGAAAATCATAACCATACAAAAGATAAAAGCATTAAACATTGGGAATTATAACCATACACCTGTCGTTGCTGTACGTAAAGCAGCTGCAGAAATAATTTTACCATATATATATAGAGGAAGGTTATACTTACAACCTTTTTTCTTACAACTTTTTTTTTACAACCTCTTACAACCATATCTTATCACCGTTGATTTCCGTCAATCAACGGTTATCATTTATTGTGAATTAATAATTAATTAATGAGTTTAATTTGCTAAAATGATAACCGTTGATTGGCGGAAATCAACGGTGATAGGATATGGTTGTAAGAGGTTGTAAAAAAAAGGTTGTAACTATAACTTTGCTCATATATATATATATATATATATATATATATATATATATATATATATATATATATATATATATGAGATAAGATCCTTTGACACCAGTGTTAAATTTAAAATTTGACACTTCATCTGAGAGTTGTTAGAACAAAAAAGATCAATGGTGTCACATGTTTACAAATCAGAGTCGTTGACCTTTTTTGAGGTGTCAAATTTGAAATTTGACACTGGTATCAAAAGATCCTATATATATATATAGAGAGGTAGGATCCTTTGACACCTCATCTGACAGCCATTAGATCAAAAAAGATCAACGACTCTGATTTGTAAGCATGTGACACCATTGATCTTTTTTTATCAACGACTCTCGGATGAAGTGTCAAATTTCAAATTACTTATGTCAAAAGATTCTACCTCATATATATATATATATATATATATATATATATATATATATATATATATATATATATATATCAACAGATTTTTGAAATCTTATCCGATTAATGGAATTTTGAGTTTGAATCTCTTTATTCTCTTAAGGAGCTGCGATTTTTAGGAACAATCAAATCTTTAAATCTAGATGGATTATTACTGGATCAACAACTCTTAGGTATATTGTTTTATTCTTTATTTTCTGTTGTTTATGGATGTCGTGGGGAACAACAGCCAAACATGGAAGTAGAAGTAACTTTTAGAAATAAAGTGAAAATTTCACCGTGTCCAATATTTTTTCCAATTTGATGAGCCGACTATCAATTTGGACTCCAGTTTTGAACTTTAGCTTCTAATCAAACTTTAAACCATTTGTTTATCAATTTTCTTCGCTATTAGTCTCACCTTTATTCACTTTGAAAAATGTTACCCTTTCCCAAAAAATTCCACGTTCACTTTTTTTTGAACTAAGTGAATATTGAGGGTTTGACTTGAACTTAAATCTCTTTTCCACTACTCACAAAAAAACAACTCTTCGATGGAGAAATTTTATTTTTCACACATATGGAATTGATTCATAACAATCTCGTGAATTATAAATCTTAAATTCTAAATCAAAAACGGTTTAATTATTTATAAACAAAGGAAATTGTGTCACATAATTTCATGTCACACGTCCATTTCACATATACCTACAAGCAAAAGTCAAAATCGATTTCACATCACATGCAAGAAATGTCCTACCATTCAAAAATCCTTGAATCCCCGCCGTGATTATCGTTTGTCACATCGTTGAAGAGATCAGAAAACCAAACCCAACACTTAACATTTAAAAATCTAGCAATTGGGGCCTCAAGTTGAAGATTAAAAACATGGTTGTTGAAAAAACAATAACAACATACTATGTCTGACACATTACACGGAATACTACACGACACAATATTCCGACACGTTAATTTTAAAAATGTTAAATTTTGATACGTTAGGATACGTTTTGATATTATATAATTTTTTTAATTTATGTAGTGTATATTATATTTAATATTCAATAATTTAACAAAAAAATAAAGTTAAACTTATAATACCCATCAATTTTATAAAGAAACGTGAGATATCCCAAATGTTTATATTAAACTCAATAAAATAATAATCATAATCCAACAAATCTAATAGTTGAAACTCAAAATGCAACGCAACGTAACATTTGAACCTTTTTTGAATTATTGTATCAACGTCAGAGATTTTAAAGTGTCGGTACTTCACAGATAGGATATACAACACAGTAACAACTATGCTTGTTCTACTTTTTCGTTCTTTGGAAAGCGAAACGCTTCTTAGTTTAGTGTTATTTGGTTTTGGTACCTTTTCTGTCAACTTAGTTTAGTGTTTTCTGTTTTGGTAGCTTGTGTCAAAAATTTGTCTGGTTTTCAAACTTTGCCATCTTTTATTGACCAATGCCCCTAAAATCCACAACCACCCATACAACAATGTCTTTGTCTCACAACCACCATTTCCCGTGTGAACGTTACACCCTTGTTGGTTTGTGAGGATTACCCGCAACAAGAATTTGGTTGTTAATATCTTCCTTTAAAGACTATATTTTGCTTCTTGCTCTTTAATTAGTGAGTCACAAAAAGTGAAAAAAAAACCTGACCCAAAAATCTGGTTTATCATCACTTTTGAGTCACTTAGTAGTAATGGGAAATACCTTAGGATCGAAGAAGACCACAAAAGTAATGAAAATTGATGGGGAAACCTTCAAGCTGAAGACACCAGTGAAAGTTGGTGATGTACTTAAGGACCACCCTGGTCTTGTTTTGTTAGAATCTGAGGCAGTGAAGCATTATGGGATAAGAGCAAAGCCTTTGGAAGCACACAAAGAGTTGCAACCAAAAAGACTCTATTTTCTTGTGGAGCTTCCAAAAGAGAGTACAATTCCAAGAAGGGTTCGTTCTGGCATTAACATGAGTGCCAAAGACAGGCTTGAAAGCCTTGTTCTGTCTCGAAGGTCTGCTTCTGATCTTACAATCATGAAACCACAGAGCAGCAACATGGAAGGGTCACAGAATGGTGGAGTGAGGTTGAAAATGAGGCTTCCAAAAGCAGAAGTTGAAAAGCTGATCCATGGAAGCAAAGATGAAGCAGAGGCTGCAGAGAGGATTATGAATATGTACATGGCTAATAGTAGCAGTGATAGCAAGCATGAAATTGAGAAAATTGGAGAGAAGATTAGTGTGCTGAACCGGGAAATGCATTGGAAGGGTACAAAGTCACGTGAGGTATGCTTTCTTAAAAGTAGAGATCATAATGTTCATGTATGTTGCTTGTTTTTTGTGCTAAGTTTGATCTTTATTAAAGTGTTTTTTTGTTTTTAAGGTACATCACTTTTAGTTACTGAGCTTTTTTTATCTGTCTATGAATTAGTGATTCTTTTGAAGAAGAGTATCAGACACGAAAAAGTTTAATGTTGAAGTACTGAAAAAAGTTTAATACTTACACATATTGTCATATGATTGTGTAATGAATTTGATATCTCAAAACTAAACTTTTTATGGGTATCTTGATGTGGTCATGCTTTCACTTTACTTTTTAGTTTGATTGTAACTTTTTAAATAGTCAAAATTTTATTTTATTATTTTAACAATATAAATTGTGTTGATAATTTGAAATAGGTAAAACTAATCTTATGTTGCATAAGATAATGTACCTCATGTTGTGAAACAAAATAAAGGTGAGACCCACTAAAAAAGAAAAAAGAAAAAAAAATCAAACTGGGACCCACTTTAATTTTGTTTCACAACATGAGATATATTATCTTATGCAACATAAAATTAGTTTTACTAATAATGCATATCGTTTACTAATTATAAAACGGTCCACACGCATAACGATTCTAGTATAATATATAGAGAAAACACTCTTTTTAGTCCCTGACAATATCTACGAAGTCCTTTTTAGTCCCTGGCAATAAAAAAGGACCAAATTGATCCATGAAATTACAAAAAAAGGGTCATGTTAGTCCTTATGTCAACTCCCAAATATGTAGAGTGGCCCTTTTCTTGTACTTTCAGGGACCAATTTGGTCCTTTTTTATTGCCAGAGACTGAAAAAGACTTCGTAGATATTGTCAGGAACTAAAAAGGGTGTTTACTCTAATATATATAAGAGCTTTCCTAATAAAATTTTAGCATTAGCAATCATTTCAGGAATTTTTTCATATGAAAGTTCCTGAGACAATTTTTTACCATCGTAAAGAAAGAGGGGCGATGAGTCTACGATGCTAAAAATTATATAGATGATACAAATTTTGACATGATTTAATTATTAAAATTATATTAATTCATTTAATATTTATCTTGATTCATTATTTTGACAATGTAAATTGTGCCTACAACCTGTGACATATATAATTTGCAGCATCAAAAAATCACTCATATATCCTCTATATTATAGATATCAATCCTCACCTTCTACTAAGGAATCTTAACAATTCCAAAACACAAGAGTGATAAATTCCGTTCCATTCATATTTCATATATAGCGGACAACAAGCAAAATTGTTTTGATTATAAGACTATAGGAGAGGGGGTAATGGCCTAGTAGTTTGAACATTAATCATTTCATATTATGCTACATCAATAAGACTCTAGCCCTGCAGGGCCCAACAGCAATATATTGAAATCCAAAAGTTAAATGCTCTGTCCTTTTCAATTTGTTGGTTCTTCACAGCATAATGATTCTTCCATACATATTGTATAACTTAAAGTTAATTTATTAAAGAATGGATAATAACAAGACTTAGTTGCTATTATTATTTATGAAAGAGTGGTTGCGGAAATAATATTATTCTATGCACAATTGCATGTATTATCTATACAGTTCGTAGGTATTAAATCATATCAACATGCTTAGAAGAATTTGCATCCGCTGAACAGTTTTTTTGTTTTTTTTGTTTTTTTGGATTAACAACATTTGCAGAGAAAGGTGAGTTTTATGCCAATCAGTGAAGGAGGGAGTTCTGTAGCTGTGGCTTCGTAACTAGTTATTTCACATTCAGGTGCTGTTAGCCAGGGAGAATATCTCAAAATCGAATGAGCTTTCTGCTGCTTAGTTATATATAAGCGTGATGTTACTTATGTACTATATGAACCACAAGTGGTTACAATAATGATGTGTGTGTAATTGAACGTAAGAATGTTCAGTAAAAAGTAGTTCATTAATGCATGCTACTTTATAGTTGTGAATAGTTGTAAACGTGTAAGCGGTTCCAATAGGATTACTGATTAAATAATGGAGAATATGTTTCTCATGTTGCATGAGATAATTTTATCTATATAACACAAAAATTAGTAGGATCCACTAAAAAAAATGAATCTCACTCACTTTTTTATGTGTATATAAAATAAAATTGTCTCGTAAACATATTTTCCTTGAATAATATGTATGTTTTGGGGGAAAAAACCTATAACCCAGTTGAAGTAGTATAGAGAAGAGGCATCATGAATGGCTGGATAGTCCAATCTCTATTTTGTGCTTCTTCCTAGTTAATCGTTTGCCATAACCTAAAAAATTTGAACATAAATTACAAAAAAAAAAGAAAAAAAAAGAAAATTGAACTTGAGAGTCAACTATCATTGATAGTGATACAATCTTTATTTAGGTAACCATATTGTGAATATTACGTAGTTGTTATTGTTAGGCAATGACCCATTCTCTCACGATACCAATTGAATCGTCCACTATCAAATGAACAATACGTTTTTTTCTTTTTTCCTTTTTTGGAGACTTGGTCACATCACTTATGGTAGTTGGGTTATCTGATCAACCTCATTTGACACCTGAGGGTCATCCACTGATGAAGGGTAACACGAATTTGGGGGAAGATTGATTTTCATACAATGGTGAAGCAATGTTTAAGGGTTGATCTATAGTTCTGTACGATGCTATATTAAGGTGCTTGTTGGGAAGCCTAATTGGTCGATCATATTCAATCGATTCGTTTTTATTTGATGGTTCGTTGGTCAGTCATAGTTCCACACTGACACTTGGCCATATAAATAATCGAAATCATATAAATAATTGAAAAAAAAATGTTTACGTTAATAAAACAAAAGTGATAAAAAAATGAGTTCAATTTCATTTCTTTTCTTTAATCTCCTTAACTGGTAATGTCTACTTCCGAAAGAACAAAACCGAAATCGTTACAACAAACAATTTATGTATTTCTATCAATATCCAAGTTGACAGTCTGATGTTACTTTACGTACAAGGAAAAATTATTGTGAATAATAACTAATAAATGATAACAGATTAATATCCAAAAAAATAAAAATAAACGATAACAGATTTAAATTATTAAGAAGAATGACGTAAAATTTATTTAAAAGAAGAACTTACATTTCACATAATAGAGAAAAGATGGTTTTAATTTACAAAAAAGAAAAAGAAAAAAAAAGATGGTTTTATAATTAAATTTGTAAATTATTATTACTTATTAATCAATGATTGTTCGTTTGCACTTAATGCTTAATAGATGTAAATAAAGTTACATATTAAGTTACGAATAAATTTGTAAAGGACTACTGCTTTTTGTTGAATGATTATTTTCTTGTTGGTGGCTAATATATGTAAATAAAGTTGGGTTTGATGTTTCTCATGTTGTAAGCGATAAAATTATTTTCTACATACACATATAAAAGTGTGTGAGGCCCATGTGAGATCATGTAAAAAGAAGAGAGAAAAAAGAAATATGAACCTCAATAAGAAATACTTTTATGTGAGAGGCATTAAACCCAATAATTTTTTTTTTAGATATATTAAATCAAGAAGAAATTTGTAAATAATTATCACTTGTTATTGAATGAACATTAATTATTACTAAGTTACTAACAAGAATAAATAATGTTCTTGTTAGAAAAGTATATTATACAACAATTAATGTAACATTCACCTAACAATTTAAGTTTTTGAATTAAAATAATGTTTTACATGATATTAGAGTCTACATAACTAAGCTTTGCTAAAGACATGTAATATTATGAAGAAATTTGTGATTGTCTATTAATTTTTTTTTTTGTATACAATTGTCTATTAATTTTTGTTTAGCAGTTATTATATAATTCTTACTAAGTGTCTAACATTTGAAATGAAATTATTATTACATTAATAGAGTTGAGAATATTTTTGCCAACGACTATGGCTTATCATCGTGTCGTTATATGTTCTCACTGGATAGCTAACTCAAAAGATTCTTCCAATGTATCATTTTCGGATCCAATGGAATTCATAGGTATAGGAAGAAAAATAAACTACATTTTTGTAAAAGATACATAAATATATAAAGAAATTTGAGAATTAATATTGCTTGGTATTGAGTGGTTATTTATTTTCACTGAGTTCGTATAACTTTCATTAAGGATATTTTTATCTATTAAGTAAAATATAATGATCTCTCAGTAAATAATTTTTTTACCCTTCTTAACAATTGAAATCGTTAGTAATACTTATCATTAATTCTTCCACTGTACATAGCAAGCATTTTATAATATTTCTAGTATTAAGAAAAAGACATGGCAATAATGCAGTCCAAATTATTCATTTGCAGCTTGCTGGGAAAGTCAATTTAGTAAGCTTGCACAGGTAGAAAAGTCGAAGACCTGTTATCAAGAAAATTTCATCTCCCTTTCCCATCAGAGAGAATGTGCTAAATTGACATAATTCATGAAATATTCGCTTAAATGCACAAGCTTCCGTAAGATAGGAGGGAAAGCAGCGAGTATTCGAGAAATATAAAATATAACAAAATAATAATTATGAAACCTGTCATGAGGTGACTGACGTAGATGAGATGTTAATTTTGTTATTTATGAAAAAATTTAATTTTGCAATTAGGGTTTTCGATTTGAAATTATTTATTGTTATTTATCATTTAGAAAAAAAACTCTTATTAGGATGTTTCAATATGTTATGTTTATAAATAGAAGGGATATTAACGAGCCGAGTCAAGCCGAGCTTTGGTCTTAAGAGGTTAAGTCTGTGTTTAAATATGACAGCCTGACCAAGCTTGTTACCTGTTATGAATATAATTATCGACCTGTGGCCTGACTCATTTACAGAAAATAAAAGTCTGGTTTAACCTGTTTAAAAAAACAAGACAACAAAAATTTATCTAAACAAAGTATACAATTAACAACACTAGTAATTACATAAATATTCATAAATTCAATGTATATCCAAACAGGCATAATATATAACAAAATCATTCAAAAAGTCTGTTTAACCAATAAAATGGGGCGAAATGGATTGAGAAGAAAGAGAGGATTATTACAAGCAATATAAAAAATATAAAATAAAAATAAAAATTAATATACTAGGCTAGCCTGAGAGGCTCTAAGACCGAGCTTTTCAATTGGAGCCTGAGGTCTTTTTATTAAAAGAGCTTTTATACAAGTCCAAGCCTGGTTCTAACAACCAATTTTAGACCTGTAAACTCAGGTCTTCACGAGTCGAGCCAAAGGCCCCTGGTTTGTTTAGCGCCCTTAATAAATAGGCAATCAATTCAAATATTTAAGAAGCTTTTGGCTGTTTGGGTTCAAAATTCTCCATTGCATTTTGTGGGCAAGCTCCTTATGTAGTATACACCTTACTTAAGAGACAAACACATTTTAAAAAAAAAAACAACTTTTTTAAAAAAAAAGAAAGAAAAGAAACTCATCATTCCTTCTTGGGTTTATCATCTATCATTTAACATGATCACAAAAATTTTTCTACACACACAATATTTATTGGAGCCGGCAGCAAAAAAAAAAACTTTGGCACGCAAAACGAATCTCTATAACATAACAGAATCACTTTTCCTACAACATAACTATTATAAAACCCTTCCTACTTATTATCTTAATTCTCAAAACTATAGTAAAAAACTAAAAACAGCCAATCCATGTGATGTGACCAAGTCACGACTCACGAGGTTAAATTGATCCTTTTCATTTTTCAAAATATGTTTTCAACATGAATTTTTACAACAGAAAATATTCAATTTAATTATGAGTATACAACCAAAACTCAATCGTTTTCCTTTTTGTTTGTACAGTGAGATACGTATAAGAACTTGTAATGCAATTGAAAGCTTAACTTTTATATATGACGATAACATTCCCCTCTTCTTCTTTTACTTTTTTGGTGTAAGATTAGTATAAGATGAAATTGTTTACCCTTTTTTTTTACATAGCGTTGGATTAGTGTAAGTCAAAATATCATATTAGTATTAGTACAATACTTTCAGCTTAATACTTATTTATGAGATAAGTAAATTTATTTATGTTACAAATATATTTTAATATTTTTTTTGTTTTATTTATACACTTAATATATGTATGCCGGCATAATCCTCAAAAGCTTAAACTTACATCTTTACGGGTTGAACGACCAATCCAACTCCCAAGGCATTTATTATTGTTCTAACCTCCCAAACTACTGTTTAATCTCTTAGAAAATAGCTTACTCTTTCTAGCCATCATATAGTAAATTGATGGTCAAAAGTAGTTCATCTCAAATTTTCAAGCTATCTTAGTAAATGTTATGAAATGTTTTTATATCTTTGATTTGAGTTGCATTTTGTTACTTCATGAATAAGCTGAATAAATATATGTATGCACCTAACGGGTCGAGTCGAGCCGAGTTTTGATCTTAAAAAATTAAATCTGTGTTTAAATATGTCAACATGATCAAGTTTGTTACCTGTTACGAATATAATTATCGACATGACCTAACTTATTTACAAAAAATAAAAGCCTTATTTAGGCTGTTAGCCTAAATAGAAAAAAATAAGACAACAAAAATTTATCCAAACAAAATTTACAATCAACAACACTAGTAATTTTATAAATTCAATATATATCCAAATAGCATAATATAGAAAAAAAAAATCATTCAAAAGTCTGTTTAACTAATAAAATGGAGTGAAAATGATTGAGGAGAGAGAAAGAGAGCTATTGCAAGTATAAAAAATATAAAATAAAAATTAATACTAGGCCAGCCTGAAGGGCTCTAAAGCTAAACTTTTGAATTGAAGTCTGAGGCTTTTTTATTAAACGAACTTTTATACAAGTTCAAACCTGATTCCAACAACCATTTTAAACATATAAGCTTAGGCTTTCACGAGCCAAGCCAAAGGCCCATGATTCATTTATCACCCCTACATGCAGCATAGTGATGACCAGCAAGAAAGAATATAAGAGAATATCTTATCAAGCTCGTCCTGTGCGCCTTCCAACTTTGAGTGCCAATTCGGTGTCAATTTTGAGGGAGATGTCAAGTGCTTTCACAGAATGAGTCAGCGAACCACTGCAGAAAAGCCAAGTTAATGGATTAGTATTTTCAAGAAATAGTAGTCTGTATGCGGGTTTCTAAACCATTGTAACCATCATTTTAAAATTAAAAAAGGAAAAAAAAAAATAGACAAAATGGATTCATACATATGAAGCAGTAGATTGTAGACGCATTTGCAAACATCGTTTTAGAGTTATATTCCGTGTACTATTTATAACTAAATTAATTATAGGTATCCAAGAGTTGTTGGTCAAGTGGCATTCTAGCTAAACCTCATGATTTGATTTGTCCAAAGGATACTCAGTTTAATTCTTGAGAGTCGCAATTTCTGATAAGAGTAGAGAGGCTCAAACTCTAGGACCTGTTTTTTTGGATACAATGGTAGAAATGAAACACATAACCAAATACAAACTACCTAAATCCCTCACCACTAGACTAATCATAATAGTTTAAACTCTAGGACCTATTAAGACTTCTAACACCTGTTGATATTTACACACACACATATATATATATATATATATATATATATATATACACATATGGGGTAAACATTTCTACAGCCACTTTAGATAAGCTTATCTACAGCTATCTTTTATAACTATGTTCTCCCGGAAGAATATAGTTATAACACTAAAGTTTCTTTTTTCTCTCTTTCCACGTCAGCAGACATGTTTTGAAAAGTAAATGAGAAGAGAGAAAAAAAAAGTAACTTTAGTGTTATAAATATGTTTTCCCGGGAGAACATATTTATAAAAAGGTAGCTGTAGATAAACTTATTTAAAGTGACTGTAACAATATTTTTTCATATATATATATATATTATAGGTGGACAAGATCCTATGGTTATCCTACATATAGATAGTAGCTAGCAACCATGTGTTAGTAGCATTCCCCCAATCAAGGTGTATATCAGAAGAAATAAGATACAAAGAAAAAAGGGAGAGGAAAGGGTATTGCTAACATTCATCGAGTTATGAACCCTTAAACCGGCCAGGATTACGAGCAAGATTAGAAACAGGGGAGGATATATGGAGAAAGCTTGAGATCCGTTTGTTTTCAGGGGAAGATGCCTTAGAAAAAGAAAGTGCCAAGTGTATTGCTAACATTCCTCAAGTTATAAACCCTTAAACAATTCATCTTAACACAACGACTTTTTCAACCGTAAATGATGCAGTCTTACATCTACCCGGTAGGTAACTTCGGGAATGATTGAGCATACTCCCATAAAATAAAGAATACGTGAACAATAAATCCATTAGAATAAGAGAATCACAGTTCTATACTAGCTCCTATTCCAGATACAAAAATTGTGAACGTTTTGTTGTGAAACATCACTACTTTGAAATGAGTACCAAAAAAAGCATCTCTCTAAATGAGGTAATTTCATATCTTGGATGCATCAATATCAGCTTATTTTTACAAGGATAAAAACAATTTTCACGTAATATATGAATTATACAACACGGAGAAATGGAAGGAGAATGTATTATGATACTAGAAGTAGAGATTATGAAGTGCTGTTGGAACTAAAAGTTTACCTTGAAATGTAGGTTACTCCACTTTGCCCGATTTTATGTACGGTGTCTAGAGTAACATTGCCTGATGCCTGGCATCACAAAAATGACACTAGAAATTAGTTAAGAACATGAAGGCGAAATTATTTACTGACGTCAACCTCAACCAATTCCAAGATATCCACACAATATCTGAAATTACCCAATGGCCCTAATTAACAATGATCACAATAATGTAAGAAAAGCTAAAGAGTCCAAAGGGAAAAGGGAATGTGCATTAGCAAGGAAGATAATAAACTCCACGAGTACCAAACTGATGACAACCAAAACCATTACAGTACTATCTTTCACTGCATGCATAATTTTCAGTGAAAAAATAGCCACTGCATAAAAATATGACCTCAAGACATAAGGGCCAACATTGGAGTGTAAACCCATAATTTTGAAGTTAGCACTACATATTGCTCAACGATTTTCCATCCACCTCTTTAAAAGTTTGACATCTAAACAGAAATGCTAGTTTCTCAACAAATTTACAGAAACCAGAAAATGATATAATAAATAAATTTAAAAAAAAAATATGAAAATCAATAGCAAAATATTCTGAGGCATTTAGTCAAGAAAAAATCCAAATAATGACACAGATAAAACTAAGCAAATTTAGTCATGAATACCTCGGTATCAAATCTCCCATTGACCAACTGCACAGCTTCTTTCAGCATAGATATGTCCACATCCCCATTTGGTAGAGGTACAACCATATTATCCAACATTATCCGGGTCAAAGAAGTCTTTGTTTGGGATGCATAATGTAATACTTCTTTCACTTCGTCAAGAGTCCTGGTCTCAACCTGGGAAAAACACAACTACCTTAAAACATCATAGCTGCAGCCAGAATTGGTCCTTTACAGGCATGCACAGTCAGATAATGAACGCTCAAATAGACATATACATTTGACTTTATGCCGAGTACTACACGATGGAAGCCAAAACAATGTTGATATGCATAGATAACACCAGTGCTTATACAAACATGCAAACAAGTAACACGATTTTATAAATTGTGATATTGCTTTAACAAATCATTTATTAAACAAATAATTATCATATTGCGATTGCAAGGTGAACAAGAAACCTTTTACAAAAATTTAAAACTCACAGTAACTGCTAACAAGTCAGTTGGTACTTGGCAGGCATCACAGTTTTCATGAACTTTCAAAGTCGAGAAAAGACCAATAAGACTTCAAAATGAAAGGGAAAAGAAATGTATAAAATCATGAAAGAGTACATCACCTCAACCTCCATATGAAGGTGTTTTTGCTCTAGATACAGGTCGACAGCTCTGAGGGCATTTGTAACACCTCCAGCTGTTGATATATGATTATCTTTTATCATCACCATATCAAACAAACCCATTCTATGATTCCGGCCTCCACCAATTAATACCTATAGAAACAGATGGAGACTAGTTTATTGAGTAAACTTTATGTGTAAAAATATAAATGGTTATCAACAAAAGCAAGGAAGTGATCCAAAGTCCAGACCGCCCATTTATCCAATAAACGTAATCCTGGAGCAGTTTTTCTAGTCTCCAAAATATAGGCAGGGTGTGCAGCAGTTGCCATTGCCTGTGTTAATACATGAAATTTGTAATGGAGTCGAGAATTATAAGATAAAAACTGATAACTTCACTAGTCACTAGGCCTAGAGAGTTGTAAGACATTACCATCTTTTACATCCAATCGAAGGCATAATATAAGTCAACTAATTTTTCATATTTGTGACCATATTTTGTTTATTATGTTTATAATAGGTATCAGAGACAATGAAAGAAAAAAAAAGACCAAGGAACAGCAGGAACAGCAGAGAACAAACAAAACAGAATGAGGCTTGTATTGATATGAGGAACAAAATTACACCAGTATTCTGACAATTAGAGAGGCCAAATCTCTCCCCTTCAGCAGTTCAGCCATTGGCTGCCCAATTACACCCTATACCTTCCCTCCCATGATGTGACTCATACACCCTATATATAACAGAATATCCTAACCAATTCTCACATAATGTCCACGTCAGCATGTCCATGATTCCCTGTAGCATGTTTCCATCTCTTTATGTACACCCTTGTGATTATGGGTCTATAAAAATAGATTTAAGAAGCCAGATTATGATGGACCACTGGAGCCATTTCCAAGGAGCTACAAAAGGAAGAGGGATAGAAGACATTCAGCCCAACATATTATGGATCGAATGGTGGTTCAACAAGGTTGCAAGGAAGCAACAAGCCCAATAGCTCAAGTGGAGAAGGCTGGATCAAGCCAAGGCAGTAATGTAGAAATATGTATAGAGCTGGCCCCACGTGAGAATAAAGGAAGAGAGTTAGTTATGCAAAGGAGGGACAGGTGGCAAGTGCAGAATGGAGAAGAGGAAATGGAGATGTGTGAGGGTGTGACCAAAAGTTGTTATATTGGAGGAGCGTGGAACAGAGAGGAGTGTGAAGGATTTCCAAATTAATCAAGGGTAAAGGATTGGGGAATTCTACAGGCTGGTGGTTGCTTGTAGGAGGAACTGGGAGTATAGCATTATCGTCATGGAGTCAGTTTATTTTTTTAATTAGTGTCTCAGTGTGATAAACCTGAGCATTTATTTTGTGTCAAAGTATTTCCCTGTCACTAGTGTGAGAGATTGGAGTCTGTATTTCGTTTCTGTAATTAGGACATTGTAATCCGTATGAGTCCTTTTGAAATTGAATAAAAGTAGTACAGAGGTTATTCAGAAAAATAGTATTATTCTTCTGATTGTTTTTTTATCTTTCTGTCATTAAAAGAAAAACAGTAGATGAACACATGTGCCATCAGATTATCATCAACAATTTGTGAAAATTGTTAGGCCTCATATGACTACAACCTTGAGGACAATATGAGTAAGGGGAAGAAGAGGAATTTGGGATTGAAAGGATGTATAAACCTTGCCAACATGGCAAGGAGTGTGGGAAGAAAGGTGTGAGGCTGGGTAGAGGAGGGTGATAGATGACCCAATGGATGATCAAACCTCTGACATAATCCTCACATCCAAGTCTTAAAAGACATGGGCTAGTGCAAGTTAAGCTACAAGCCATAGCAGTGCTATCACAAGCACCATATCGAAATTGCCACGCTATACATGTAGTATAGTGCAAGAACCCATGACAAGCCATTAAAGACTATATGATAGGAATATACTCATGAAGGTGTATGTAAGGTGGATAGTAGGGGATTATGTTCTACCAATGAGGTGGCATAACTAACTTTTGGAGGTAGAATAGAATATTCTAGTAGATTAGGTTGAGTATAAGATGGAAATGTGAAGGTTGTGAGGGTATCAGAGATATCTTTTGGAATTGGGACTCTTGGGAGAGTGTGAGGCCTCTCAAATTGCTGCGCTCACTTTTAAGTTCCTCCTATCATTTTATTCTTTCTTTCATGTCGTTTGGATTCCTGTAATTTCCCTTTAGCAGTAGATCAATTTCCATCAGTTGTAATTGTTTTACTGTTAATACATATATCAGAAAATCTGGGTTTTCAGGCCAAAATCTTGTGTTCTGTTAATTTTTACTGATTCTGTAGTTTGTTTCTTATCAATATAGCAGTTGCTATAGCATGATATCAACAACTATGCTCTATAGTTTACAGAAGAGCTACAAATCCTAGTGATTCATCTTGTGAAATCAAACCAATTCAGTCATTTTCTAATGTCAATCCATTACTCCCCAAATTGCTAATAATTGATATAAAATATTTCAATAGCCTAATAGGAACTTTTAAAGATGGCATATAATGTCAGCTAACTAAGTTTACTAAGATTTCATGGCAATCTTTTAGGCAGATGTAAGCATATTAGAGAAAATTTAACAAAGAAAAAGATTTAAGAAAACAAAATACCTTAGTTAAAGTTGCAATGCCACTCATCCTCTGCATAAAGTTTAGCACTACCCTTTCAGCTACAATAATGTTATGCGCCCGTCCTGCACATGTATTACTAAGGATCAATAGAAGCCTTTCATGATATTACTTACAAATTAATGATGTGCCTTTTCCCCCCTTGCTTTTGTAATTATGTTTTCCTAATAACTATCTTACCATGTACTTTTCCAAACTGTAGCCCTTTATGAATAAAATCTCCATCATTTTTAGACCACTTCACCTGATATTTGAAAGTAATACTACAATGATTCAGCCAAGTACTAACCACAGATATAATGATAGGAAACGAGCTCATTGCTTTCATACCTTCAAAGAAGGATCAACCTCATCAAATATCATCTCTGCAAGTGCGATTCCAGCAATGATGCCATCCTCCTTCGCCAAAAAATAAGCTTCCACTTCCATGTCAAATGGAATGGTGGCCAAGCACGTTACATCACCTACAATTGAATCAATTTTGCTACTAAATGCCATGTATGTATTATACTGCCAAATAACAGAGTATGTATCAGTATTATTTTTTCACAGAAGCCCAAGATCCTAGAAAAACTTACGTTTGTTTATAATAAACAAAGTAGATAGCAACTCAAATGTACATATATAATAATAAAATTAAAAATCAGGAAGAAACAAGACAGCTAATGCAAGAACTTGATAATGATGGATAAAATAAAAACAATGCCATGTATGTAAGAAACTCGCAGAAGAAAGGTCAAGCACAAACCACGATCCCCGGCATCTTCTGCAAGGGCTAACTTGATAATGCCCTTCAAATCATAAGTTGGGTGCAGAGGAGGCTGTATTGCAAAGGACTCGTATGATATCCTAGAGTTTGTGAGTTCAGTTGCAGACATTTTAATAACCCTCCTGCAGTTGTACACAATTTAAAAAAAAACAATTAGAAAATACATGACATCTATCTACTTACATGTGTAAATATTACCATCTAGTTTTATACTCTATGAACAACAAATAGACTGTTTCGTGGGTTTCTATGCATTTAATCAATTACATATGTAACTCATTAGTTCATACTGCCAGGATTCAAAGTTTCAAACATGAATTGCTATGATAGTTGTCAGCTTTTCTCAAGCCAACAATACGAAACAAAACACCACAATTAATCTATGCTTAATCATGCATATAAGTTGCAATTCACAAACAAGCAAAAGAAGTATTGTTAAGCATTTTCCACAAGTATCACCAAATAATACCAGCAAGAAAAACGCTTTTAATTTTTATTTGAAAACAGCACTTGTTTACCATTTTTTTTTGCTTGTACCCTATATCAGAATTACAATAACTACTACAAAGTTCTTGTTCGTCAAGGATGAGAATTTGATTACCAATACCGTATAGCATAGAAACAAATTAGCTACCTAGATGCAAATCATCCCAATTCACATAAAAAAAGGAGTAAAAAGTCACAATTGGATACACAAAACAAGTAACATTTATAATAGTTACAGCAAATTTGAACCAGTTGAAGGATTTTACCTGAATTTTGATTGCCCTTGGAGTTTAAATGATGAGAGACTGCAAGAAATTAATAAAGTTACATAATTTGTCAGAAGATTTTGGAGAGAGGCGTATTTGCTACAAACATAGCATAGGAAAATTCCCCAAATGAAATATAGCAGATATATTTATGGTATGGTTGGTATTCATGAAATACAAAAAACCCTTCCTTTTTCAAACGCAACTTTAACTTGGGATAAGAAAAAAGAATAAAGACCAAAACTAAACCTTGTGGTTCGCTCTGTGATGTGGAAAAAAGCTTGTGGCAAGCACCTTTGCGTGGTGATCATAGCCATAATCAAACACAGTTTGAGACTCTTTTTCTCTTCAATTTCAGAATTTGTGCGTCCTAATTCGATGGCTTCAAGGTTGAAGATGATAAACAATGCAAGCAAGTTGGAATTGGATTCCGATTCTGAAAAAGTTCACTAACTTGGGGACAGTTGGGGACTTGGGGTGACTCAGCTACTCTCAATCTCAACTCATAATAATTTGTATTTTATTTATATTTATACTTCAATTAGATTAAATTAAATATACAGTTAAATATTTGCTAATGATTAAGGGGGTATTGGATTGGGATTTGACAGAGATTTTAATGAATTATATTTAGAAAAAAAATTCATTCGTATTCAATTAGAATTTTAATGGATTGAAAAATATTCGATTAGATTTTAAAAGATTATTTTAGAGTACGTCTAAATCTTTTGGTATTAAATCAGGATTTTAAACAAAGGAAACATAATATTGTGGTATTCAAAAATCTAACGATTTTAATAGATTTTTTATTGGTGTGAATTTCATGAAACTTTTTAGTGAGAAATATAAATATAATATCTCTCTTACAATCTCACCATAATTCCTAGGATTTCTTGAAATTTCTCTACTGCAATGTCTTCTTCTTCATTTACCAGATTGACCAGCTAGAAATCTGATTCTGCTATTGGAGCTAGGGGTGTTTGCGGTCTAGATTGGATCGATTTTGGAAGCAAAAATCATCCAATCCAATCCCTTCGGTTTGGATTTTTTTCCAAATCCGATCCGATTTAATCCAATTTTTAATTAGATTGGATCGGTTTTTGGTTTTTTGAAAATCCTAAAATTTATTTTATGATTATTGTGCAAATAACATCTTTCGTATATATTGGCTTTGTAAAAAAAATTGAAATAAAAAAGCATTAGTAAACTATAATATAGTTTTTTTTTTGCAAAGAGATATAAAGTTCTACATAGATAAAATTTTGTTGATGATATGTGATTAGATTTTTTCTTGGGTTTAGATGATGGGTTAATGGGTCTTAAGTTTAGAAATTTTTAGGCTATGATTAGGGAAAGACCCAAGTAGGTAGAGGGGAATTAATATATTGGATTGGATCAGTTTGAATTGGATCGGTTTTCATCAACCCATCCAAAAACCGATCCAATCCAATTAAAATTTGCGGTCTTTTTTTTTATTTTTGATTTTTCGATTTTCGGTTTATTCGGTTATCGATTTTTCGGTTCGATCACCGCAGTTTGAATCGGTTTGGATCGGTTGATGAACACCCCTAATCGGAGCTTCGTCAAAGCTCAAAAAGAGCAAATTGTTTAGCGATTTTCATTACAAAACAACTCAGAAACAACAAACCAACAAGATTCTAATATAATCAATCTCAAAAACACCAGATTTTAAGTGATTTTTGAGAGCTTTTAGATAATTAAAAAATATTTTTTCAAGCTATGAGTCACTATTTTTGTTGACACAAAAATATGTGATTTTTGTATTAAAAATAATATAAAACAGTTGGAAAACAACAGAGAAACTAAAACCCTCAAACCAATTTTCTTTTTATAATATTAATTTAAAAAAGATTGAAACTTTCATAATATATCAATCCTATATTCCGTAACAATACATTCATAAACTAAATTCCTTTACTATAGGAAATGATTTCAAACAATTTTTGTGTCAATAGATAACTAAAAACTTAATTTTCAAAAGTCGTAAAACAATTTAAGGTTTCAATGTATCGATAAAAAATAATTTGAGAAATTTTCTAAACTTTCAAGTAAAGCCAGAAATTCAGATTCGAGATTTTCTTAGAATACTCAATAAAAACATGCATATGATATATGGTTAGAAAACTCTCATCACGCAGAACAAAAATCCCAAGGTTTCCAAGATCAATTGGAAAATGTTCCAAACGAAATTTTATCATGAATTTTTGGTTCTATATGCAAATTTAGAATTATTTGAATAAATTAATAAAAAATTTGTCTTATGATCATATATGCATAGCTCTAATACCAAATGAAGAAGATGATTTTCAACCCATTGGTGAAACCCAAGAGCATAAATGAGAAAATGCTAATACGTAAATACTAATAAAACTTCAGATATGTGGAGAGTTGTTTCTCTTAGTAATTTTGAATATTTGTTAGAAATTATATTATGTTGTACTGATTAAGAAAGTTATATTAGGTTTTACTCTCTTTTTTGTTAATATCATTGCATTTCTTTGTTTTTTTTTTAGTAAACTCTTTGTTATTTTTTTATTGACTCTTATAATTTTGAATGTTTATTACAAATTTATATGCTTTTTTTAAAATCTTATAAATCCACATTGTTCTTTCAAATATTATAAATTCTATTAAAATCCTTTAAAATCCAATCTTATGAAATCTTGATTGTAAAAAATGTTTTTAAAAAAGTCTTTAAAGTCCTACCAATTCTAAAATGTCTTTTAAAATTTATAAGATCTTTATCTTGAAAAAGTCTTTTAAAATCCTAATCCACTACACCCCTAAATATAAATCCGAAAAAGTAAAAAAGTGTCAAAATTGTAGACTATTCACAAAATTTCAATTATTAATTAAAAGATATTTTGTAATTAAAGTTTTAAATTTTAAAACAGATATAATAGAATAGGTAAAGTAGGCATAAAAAAAAGGTATGCATAATATCATATATCAAGTTCCTAATTTTAATGCTTTTTAAAATAGGATAGGATATCATGCCTAGGGGTGAAAGTGGGTTGGGTTGGGCCAAACTTTGCCCCGAAAAGCCCAAGTCTACACCAAAAAATTTCAATTTAGCCTGACCCAAGCCTAGTACGAGTCTAACTGTTAGCCTGGCTTGACCCGTTTATAAAAAAACAAATGGCCTGGCCTAGCTCATTACCTTGTTAATTTTTAACTTCCAAACAGAATTCTGAATACTCTTTACAAAATACTCAAATTCTGCTGCTAAACCAAAAATCATAATTTCAATGTCCAATCATAATCATGAATTATAACAAAACTCATACAATCTGTATATAAGTCACTTTCAAAAGCAAAATGCTCAAACTATGACACATATTTCATCAGATCCAACAAACAAATCCATACTATGTAAATTAAAATAATTACATGAATCCAACAAACACACCATGATGTTTGTAGTAAGTATAACCTCTCCCAAAAATCTTTTAATATATTCATATACACAATCTAACATGCTGAGATATTGGTTCCTCCTAAATAAGAAATAAAGTCAGATTTCTATTAAAATAATCAAATATAATTAAGTTACAAATAATTGCAATTGATTAAATTTATATCTTTTGTTTTTTCTTCAGGGCATTCTATTTTATTTTATCCAAAATAAAGAGTACAATATAGGCTAGCCTGTAGACTTATAGGCCATGCCTTACGAAAGTGGGCCTATGACCTTTTTATCTGGCTTATTTTACGAAATATACTAGGTCAGGTCTGTCCTGACGTAGGCCGAACCATAGGCCCCTGTAGGCCGCCTCGGCCCAGTTTCACTCCTAACATGCCTATCTTTTTTCATACCTACTCTACTTTTTTTTTGACACCATTAGATTAGATAGTTTAAATTTTTATACAATGATATTGGAAATAAGTAAATAAAATAAGCTGAAAAAAAGCTAGACACAATATCTTATCTCTATAAACTTCTATAATATCTTTACATTAATAAACCTTTACATAAATCTCACGGTCAGCTCGTCAATCAGGAGAGTTCTAATTTCTAAATCATTAGAAAAAATTTATACCAGTAAAAAGATCAATCACGGCTAGATTTTGCTATTTAATCTTTTTTTTCTTACTAATTTACCTGTAAGTCCATTCTTGCAATTCAAAGTAGAATTTCTTATTACTAATCATAAAATTATATATTCCATATTGTAATGATAGAATATTTATTGTAAAAATAATGAAATGTCATTTTTATTTTGAATTCTATTTCATAAATTTGTGAAGTTTTCTCATAAACATTCAGAAAAGGAAAAGGTGAAAGAGAAAGACGAAAGTATAAGAGAAAGTTACTCTATGCTGAGAAAAGAGAATATGTGGTTGATTGCATTCAATGATATTCATCTTTCATAGCTGAAAGCCAGTGTGGTTGCTATAAGGCTTTGACAACAGAGATTGGTTCAAGAGAAACAGTGAAGACTTTTAGTTTGAAAATGCCAGCTTTAGCTCTTGTGATCATAGGATGACTAGGAGGTGTAGTACCCAATGATTCAACAATCTTGCAAGAAGAAGACTCAACAAGTAGAGTAGTAGGTAATATGTCATTAGTGATATTGGTAGAAATTATTGCATTAGAGTTACTCAAAATATGTGAAGTTGAGTTCGAAGAATAAGGAACCAGACAACATGGAACTAGAAAAATAACTGGGGTAAAAGTAACTGGCAGGGGAGGTGAAGTATATGTTTAAGTTGAGGTTGTAGTTTTGAAGGAAATTGATAAACAAAACATGACTAGATATTATGACATGACCAGAAGGTGTAAGGAATTTGTAGCCTTTTATGAGAAGTGCAGTAGCCTAAAAAGGTACATTGAATGGACCTCTAATCAAGCTTATGAGAATTGTAAGGTCGAAGATAAGGAAGCACATCCGAAAATTTTGATAAATGAATAGTTTGGTGACTTGTGGAAAAGTTTCAAAGGGAGACTTGTTATTGAGATAGGGATAGGGGAATTGGTTAATGGTAAAGAAGGATCTTGCCATTAGAGCTAGACCTGTCTCTACAATGTGTTTATGTTTGCATTCTGAGGTTCCATTTTGCTGATGAATATAAGGACATGATAGTCTATGGACAATGCTATAATTTTGTAAAAAGGAAGTGAGACGTAGCTATTACTTTGCATTGTCAGTTTGTAGGCTCTTTATTTTAGTATCAAGTTGTAATTCAACCATAGCCTTAAATTGAAAGAAGACAGATAAGACTTGTGACATGTTTTTCAATGGATAAATCCATGTGTATATGTTAAAAGCACCAATAATGCAGATATAATAGTATGAACCATATGTACTATCAACAAGGTTGGTCCCCAAATTTCATAAAAAATTCGCTCAAATGACCTTTTGTAAACTATGGTGGGAGGACTAAAGGGAAGTTGGTGCATTTTTCCCGTACAACAAGTTGAACAAAGAACTTAGTTTTATTCTTGAAAGG